GATTACATCCCAGAGTTCTGAAAGAGGTGGCAGATGTTATCTCAGAACCATTGCACCACATCTTTCATAAATCCTGGAGCACCGGGGAAGTGCCTGAGGATTGGAAAAGGGCTGATATGGTTCCCATTTTCAAGAAAGGGGAAAAAAACAGACCCAGGATACTACAAACCAATCAGTTTAACATAAATACCTGGGAAGATCCTAGAAAAGATCATCATAAAACTACGAACAACTAGAAGCAAACGAAGTTGTAACCAGTAGCCAGCACAGGTTTGTTAAAAACAGTTCATGCCAAACCAATCTTATTTCATTCTTTGATAAAGTGACTAAACTAGTAGACCACCGAAATGCTGGGACGTAGTATACTTAGATTTCAGTAGGGCATTTGATAAAGTAGACCACAACCTACTCCTTGGTAAACTAGAAAAAGTGGAATAGACAACATCACCATCAGATGGATCTGTAACTGGCTGACAAACCGTACTCAACGAGTACATCCACATGGAGAGAAGTAAGCACTGGGGTACCACAAGGTTCCGTCTTAGGCCCAGTACTCTTCAATATCTTCATAAATGACTTAGATGAGGGAATTGAAGGAGAACTCATCAAATTTGCAGAATGATACCAAACTGACAGGAGTAGCTAACACTCCAGAAGACAAACTCAGGATCCAAAAATATCTAGACAAACTTGAACAATGGGCCCTATCCAACAATGTGGAGAAAAGCAAAGTTTTGCATTTAGGCAGGAAAAATCAAAGATACAACTATGGATTGGGTGAGATCTGGCTTAAAAACAGTAACTGTGAGAGGGACCTTGGAGTCCTAGTAGACGATCACTTGACTATGAGCCATCAGTGTGCAGCAGCAACCAAAAAAGCTAATACAATCCTGGGTTGTATAAACAGAGGCATAGAATCAAGATCACGTGAAGTATTAGTACCACTTTATAAAACCCTAATAAGACCACATCTGGAATACTGCAGCCACCATATCACAAAAAAGATGTTGAGAGTTTGGGAAAAAAATTCAGAGAAGAGCAACTAAGATGATCAAAGGCCTAGAGACTAAAACATACAAAGAACGGCTGCGGGACGTGAGTTTGGCTAGTCTAAAGAAAAGAAGAAATAGGGAGATATGATAGCAGCATTCCAGTATCTGAGCGGCTGCCACAAGGAAGAGGGGGTCACATTCATCAGAGCACCAAAGGGAAGGACAAGAAACAATGGTTGGAAACTAATCAAAGAGAGAAGCAACCTGGAATTAAGGAGAAACTTCCTGACAGTGAGGACAATCAACCAGTGGAACAGCTTGCCTCCAGAAATCATGGGCACTCCATCACTGGAGATTTTTAAGAAGAGTCTAGATAGTCACCTGACTGACATGGTATAGATTCTCCTGCTTGAGCAGGGGGCTGGACTAGAAGACCTCCAAGATCCCTTCCAGCTCTATTCTAGTCTATCATCTTAACTGTTGTATACCTTGTGGATATCCCTGACCTATAGAAAGATGATTAGGGAACAAGAAGAACACCATTAGCCTGTCTTCATTTGGGGTCCAGCATACCAAGGCATGAACCTAGAGCCACATTTGGCATCATTAGAGAATCAGGTAACTTGGCATATTCAGGGGAAGCTCTATCTTTCTAAGGCTATGTTATCCATAGCCTTAATGACCTAGCAACACCACCAATAACCATTAGTTTGATCTGTCTCCTGCCTTCTTGGTTAGACCTTAGTCCCCTGCTTCCAAGCCATGGCTTTCCTCCTTGTAATTCTTTGATTATGTTTTTCCCATTGTAGATTCAAGAGGGAATACATCATTATGTTATTAGCTGGCACAGCACAATAAAAATGGAGATGGAAATGGAAATGAGGAGGGGCTGGCCATCTGAAGCTCCTTCCAGGTCCTGAAGCTCCTTCCAGGTCCTGTTCTTACCACATTCTCCTTGGCTGCTGGAACAAGATTGACACCTGGGTCCTTCGTTCTCTTCCTCCTGCATTCTTGAGGTAGAAAAAACCAGTAAGAATGAACCTTGACTTCTGCCTACTCCCTTCCTCTTGCAACCTGGTGCATTGTTGCCTGCCTACCTCCTGATCCAAACTTCAGATATCTCCCCCTCCCAAGGGGAAAAACAATTTTCAGATTCTATCAGAAGTAAAACTGCCTATTTCCTCTAATAAACTAAATTCATCACATATGACACTAGTAGTTGATTCATGAACTTCCCTGCCAACAGATGTGGGGCTGTTGTGCAACTTAAATGACTTTCAAGGCTCATTAGACAAATTCAGAGAGGAGAAGATGTTTGCTGGCTACCCAGACCTGATAGAAGTATTGTGTTTTCATGATCAAAAGACCCTGAATGTGAATTGCTAGCAAGCAATAGTAGAAGGCTACTAGTGCCCCCAATGTCTTGCTTGTGAGTTTCCCATAGAATCTGGTTAACCCTCTGGAAACAAGTGAATGGACTAGGTAGGTTTTTCCATGCACTTCATAGTCCCTTGAGATGGGGATTTATTTCCCTTGATTACCACTGAGAAAGGGGAATAAAAGCACTTAGGATAGAATAGAGCTGGAAGCGACCTTGGAAGTCTTCTAGTTCAGTCCCCTGCTCAAGCAGGAAACCCTATACCATTTCAGATAAGTACCATGTTTCCCCGAAAGTTAGACCTAGCCCAATAGTAAGCCATAGCTTGATTTTGGGGGGTGGACCTAATATAAGCCCTACTCCAAAACTAAGCCGTAGTTTGGGGGCGAGGCACACCCCTAAAAATCAAACTAGGGAGGGGTAGGGGGTGAAGCTGCCCTACATGCCCCGCACCCGCTTACCTTACCTTATCGATAGGACCACCACAGCCAGGTCTCCCACACTTCAACACCTGTTGTGCCGCTACTTGACTTCTGCGGCCACTTGCCGCCACTTATGGCCAGCCACCATGTGGCGCATTGCACCATTTCCACTCTTCCCAGCAGGATGCCACATGGCGCTCCAGGCTGCTTCCGCTGCTTGTGCAATGCTTTGGGCCACTTCTGCTGCTTACACGCTTCAGGCTGCTTCTATTGCTTGTGGCAGGAGGCCACATGGCGCTTTGGGCCATTTCTACTGCTGCTCACGGCAGGACACTGAGTGGCTCTTTGGACCATTCCAAAGAGCCACACAGTGTCCTGCTGCAAGCAGGGAGGAGCGGCAATGGCACAATGCGCCACATGGCATCCAGCCGCAAGTGGTGGCAAGTGGTCGCAGAAGAAGTCAAGCAGCGGTGCGACATGTGTTGGGGTATGGAAGGCCTGGCTGTGGTAGTCCTAAGGTAAGACATTCTCCAAAATTAAGACCTAGTGCCTCTTTTGGAGGCAAAAAAATATATAAGACCGGGTCTTAATTTCGGGGAAACACAGTAACTGTCCAGTCTCTTCTTAAAAACCTCCAGTGATGAAGATTATCTGAAGTTATCCTTGAAAGTCATCTTAGTTGCAGATCATCCCCACATCAGTTGGCAGGGAGGCCCATGAAATCAACTGTCACATGAAATGAATATATGCCACCATATATTATATATGACATGAAAATATTGAAGCCAGGGTTTTCCCCCCCTTCAAAATAATGTAACTTTCCCATCTTTTTTTTCTTCAAAATCTGAATCCAAAGTCATCACACTGTGCGTACAATGTAGGGACTTGCAAGGGGACAGCCCTGATTCAGATAACCAGTATTTCCAATATTACAACCACTAGAACTGAGTGTCCAGAAAAGCCATTAGAGCACAGAAAGAAAACAGATGAACAAAATATTCTTTATTCTAAACACATTTCCATTTAACTGGAAAGAAAATAGACATTTTTTTCAGCAGAAATCATTTGGATATACTATTTCTATTGATTGCTAAAATAAATCCTTTATAGTTGCAACTAACCAAGACAGTCACTTTCATCCCATTGCTTCCTTCTTGAAAATGTATTCCTGATCTGAATCTTCAGTTGAGAAGTGCAATCACAGCACAATATTGGGCACATGATTTGTACACAGATAGTGCCAGATTCAATCCCAGACAGCCCCAGTTAAAGTAACTTTGGGCAGCAGATTGTAGAGAAGAAAATCAGACCCTGCCTGGTAAGCCAGAAATCCACTCTCAGCTAGCCTGAGTGTCTGGGCAGGCAGTCACTTGCTCTCTTGCTCCTGTTCTTTATTCTTGGCATTGACTCTATTTCACTTTCTTTCTCTCTTCCTCCCACAGCATTTTTTCTCTCCTTTTCTCTGTTTCTCAGCAGACAAATTGTGGCACTGCTCTTTTTTCTGTAGTTTTTGCTTGCGTGTTACAAACATGTTACATATATTCATGTTTCCAGAGAGATTTTGAGATAGGGTAAGAGGACATGCATGCTGATTTCTAGAAAAAATATATGTAGAATAATTTGGGACCCTCCAGATTAAGGAGAGCCAGTTTGGCATAATTGTCAAAGCGCCAGCCTAGAAATAGGGAGACGGTAGGTTCGAGTCCATCTTAAGCACAAAACCAACTGGATGAGCTTAGGATAGTCACTCTCTCTCAGCAATAGGAAGGAAGCAGTTGCAAAGTCACCTCCAAAAATCTTGCCAAGAAAACTGCAGGGATGACTCCCGGCAGTTACCAGGAGTCAACAGTGATTTGAAGGCATGGGGGAAAAATAAAATTAAGGACTAATTCAGTAGTCCCTTTTACACTAGTCAGAATAAGCAATTCAGATTTGATGGGCAGACATTTTAATCTGGTAAAAGATAGCTTCTTATGGAATGAGGTATAAATTCCTGGGAAATAAAATGATCAGGAAAATGTATACATTAATATTTCATTGTCACCCATTTCATTTCCAAGATCTCCCAAATGTATGAGCTTAGCCATCACAGCATATCAATCGTTCAGTACAGCAACTACAAATACTGATCTCTGTTCCTGATCTCTTTCCTCTGATTCCAGTCCAAGGTTTACCCAAAACTAATGCTTTTCTGCCAGCTGATCTTACCTCATGCTGGTTTCAAGAGATTCAACTTTGCAGGAAAGCAACTGCAGACATTCAAATCCCAGGATTCCAGAATTCTGAATCCCCTTCTTGGGAGGGGAAGTTCCATTTTGCTGGTCCTTGGTGGCCATGACTCCTACTTTATAAATGATAATCTTACAAGCTGTAAGTTACAATGGTGTCACACATGCCATGCTGTCAAGTACCAATGACACACATTACATAATTTACATCATTTACATAATGATGTCATGATACCTGTGACATTTGTTGTGCACATTTGACAAATGGGTGATAAGAAGAAAGACATGGCACCACATAGCCTGTTTTGAAAAACTAAACAAAGTTAAATCTGGTTAGAATTTGAATGAGAGATCTTCAAGAAAACCTACAGTTCTAGGAAAGTTGAAAAAGCATTCTACAAAAAGAATGGTTGACCACATCTGTCTGATCATCAAGAAAATTACATGTAAGTATTAGCAAGAACTGATTGAAGAAAGACATTTTAAGGAAGAAGATAATCCTTCAGACCCACCAATAGAAAAGCGAATATCAATAGACTGAATAGACCACAGACTGTCTTCCCATAATTTTCATCATCAGAATGAGACATCTTATGTGCCACTTTTGACCAGAGTAGGGTGAAAACACTTGTAAAACAATAAAGTGTGTTGTCTGAGAATGGCTTAGCATAGTTTATAAATAATTAGCATATGTGTGAACATAGCTTAATAATCTTCAAATTACCTGATAGAAATTTTAAATCAGCTGGAGTAGAGATTAAGATTTTGGTTTGAATTGGACAGAATCAGGTTCAAGTCCATTTTCCTCCATAAAAACATGCATGGAATAATTTGGAAGCAGTAATGCTATAGGAATATCTTGAGCTTCTGGAGGAAAGATTTGCTCTCACTGTTTATGGTTGCATAAATCACCAAACCATCCATTTTGAAAACATTCATGAAGATCAAATAAATTCCAGACAGCACCATAGCCAAGGCAATAACTGCTCCCCTGCCCCACTATGAACTAAGACTGCAAAGGTTTTAATTAAGTTGGCTCTTTAAAAAAAAAAAGACCTGGCTTTCATTGCTGAGTTATTAAATACATAGAAATTCATTTGGAGATCCTTTTAACATTTGTGCCTGGGTTTGCCAGTCACTCTCACTATCTGGGCCAAAAAAATTAGAAGTGCCAAGACCTGCTAAAAATGACCACATCAAAAAGGCATTAAAACATTACAGATTTCAAAATGGTACTTGGAACAACTCATTAATTAAACTGAGATGAGAAACTTGAAGTGGCAATTCCCTGTTGTTGTTACTGCTTTAAAAGTTGCTGAGGACCACAGTATGAAGATATTACAAGGGAAGATTTTCTCTGTTCTTCCTGCAACTAGTGATAAATGCATAAACTATTTGAGTTGAATGAAGATATCATTCATGCCTAACAGACTAGTTTTTTTAAAATACTTACTAAAACCTGCCAGTTTGCATCTGAAATTCAAGTTACAATATAGGCTTGAATTGAGAATGACAGCTTTTGAAGCCCACAGAGTTAGAGGAAGCCTATACATTGCAGATTGGCTATCCCTGATTTAAAACAAAAGTGATTGATTATGTATACCATATCGAAATATAAGGATCAAAATGCCAACCAACCAACAAAAATGAGTCCTTCAAAATGGTTTCTGAATTGCACTGAGGTGGCTGGGGAGACAGAACAATTACCTGGGTGAAACACCAGTAGCCTATCAATCAATCCCAGGCAGCCATAGGAAGTAAGCCCATCCTAAATATATTTGTTCTGACATAAACTCTGTTGATCTTGGAATAAACCTTTGGTCAAGGATATCTCAGCCTGCAGGCTCATTTTCATTTCCAGTCAGTTATTAGATCTTCAAGTAAACAGAACAGGTGTCAATACTACAAACGAATTTGGCTGAAGTCATTTCCACTTTGTTTTCGGTTGCCACAGAATTGGGAGGGGGGGATGTGTACTTTTGAGTTTGTCCTGTGGGAACCAAGGTCATTGCTGCTTGCATTTTGGCAGGCTGAAACTTCCATTAGAAAGTTCGCCAAAGTAGTTAATTTGGGAATGTGATTTATGACATATTACAGGGGTGGGAAGTTCAACTTTATAACATTTGGGAGGGAACTTCAGTCTTGGTTTCACTTTTGATCGTGCTGATACTTTGTAGCCAAATAAATATGTTCTTTAAGGAAATCTCTTGCCTGTTCTGTTCTGTTTTTACTGGTCCCATCTATCGGAACCATGACAACAGGCTCATGTCTAGCCTCACTTCTGGTTTTACCTATAACTAACCAAGCATTCTGTTTTGAACTATAAGAATGGAAATTGTCCTCAACTTAAAACCATTTGTTTACTAACTATTCAAAGTTACAATGGCCCTGAAAGAATAGCATATGACCAGTCCTCACATTTAAGACTATTGCAGACCTCTTCCTCAAGGTCACGTGACAACCGGCATATATTTACAACTATTGCAGCATCTCAGGGTCATGTAATTTCCATTTGCAATCTTCCCACCCAACTTTTGACAAACTAAGTCAACAGAAGCCAAATTATTTTAACAACCACATGATTCACTTAACAATTGCAATGATTCACTTAACAACCATGGAAAAAGATTATTAAATTGGGCACAATTCACTTAACAATTATCTTGTTTTGTAATGGAAATTCTGTTTCCATTTATGGTTATAAGTTGAGGACTACCTATAATAGACCATAAATCTAATCTGAGCAAAAGCTTGATTTGAATATCTGACATCAGCAGGAGGCTACCACAGCTCAATAGCAAATGTGTGGGGGCCACTGAGTAGCTACAGAGTGAAAGGATTCTGGATCTCTTCAGCACTGGACTTACAGTAAATAACCTGATGTAGTAGCCCTATTCAAACTGTATCAAAGACATGGACTAGAAACAGGCAGGACAGACAGCTCCTGGGCCATAACAGCCTCCACACTTGTTTGCAACCTCAAATGGAATGGGATCAACATGCTCAATTCAGTTTGTGAGAGAACTGGGGAATTTTTAAGAGTCAAAATGTTTTAAGCTTTGCAGAACAGATTTCCAGGAATTTTCAACCCTGAAAACGCTAAATGTGGTCCTAGCAAGAAAAATCCAATAAATGGGTGAAAGGTTCACCCCAGTCTATCTCAAGAATATCATGGCATCAGTAGCCATGACATATGCTACACTTGGAAAAATTAATTTTAATGTTATAGTGGTTGAATTTTTTAAATTTAATTAAAAAGAGTGCAGCTGCTAGCCAAAAATAGCTTTTTTCCTTATGGTATAAAAAGCAACCAGTTATAGCTTATTAGATATTTTTATTAATTCATATGTAGGGTTTCAAAATCATGCTCTTCTCCCTGTTTTATTAATCTCTATCATCTTATATTTACAAGTGAGTTGCTGCACAGAGCAAGCCTGCTCTCTCAGCCAGTCATGCCTTCTTTTAGGATACTCCATACCATTCCTTCTCTCAACAAACAGCATTTAATAACCACAGAACATGGTTATTTCCCTCTGGGCTGTTTTCAGGTTTTTCCTATTTGAAGTTCTTCACACACCAGCCCAATATTTTTTCCCCCTGAAAAATTTAAGATGAACATATAATGATTGACACTGGAGAGTTTAGTTTGTTTTCATTATTGCAGAAGTAGGAGGGTCTATTACCAAACTTATCTAATGGACTGATCCCATTCCTCCACAAATCCTTTTGAAAATCCATCAAAGCATATGACTTCCTTTACATCTCATCCCAGTTTATCCCCTGTGAGAAACTTCGTTCTAATTAGGACAGTCTTGGATGTTTACAATAGTTGACTTCTTTAGCAAGTATTATGAGACAGGAAAGTGAGAATATCTTCTCTCTCTGATATTTGGGTGGGAACTAACTAGAGTTCTTGCTATTCCCCCAAGTTGAGGGGAAAGTATTTAGGAATTGAGCCTTGAGCAGACCTAACTATACACTGGAACCCAAGAAGACTGATAGGGAATGTGGTAGCAAAAAAAATCCCATTTCAGTCAGGGAGACCTGAAAAAATATTTTCCTGGATGGATGAGACATACCACCACCACCCCTTATTCCATAAAACTCTTTCTTTCATCCTCCAGAAAGCAATAGCTTGTTTATTGGAGAAGTATTATTGCCTGTAACTGGATGCTTTTCCTGCTGCCAAGTTTTGTCTCTCACCCCTCTCTTTCTGAGCCAACTCACATATCCAGCAAGAGCTACCGTGGATTTCTAGAGCTGTATAGTAGCTCACATGAGATTGAAATCAATGTTGTACCAGGTTTTGTTCTTGTCTGGCTACAGCTCAGCTTGCCTGGTATAATAAGTGGTAGCTTTTCCGCAATGCAAGAGAAACAGGAAGCATTCTCAGAATTACAATGATGTGTGAATAAACCATTCTCCTGTTTTTTGCCATTTAGGACATCTAAGAAAGCTAATGGATAAGCTTTCACAGATTGCATTCCATTTCTGAGTACACTAGCTCAAGATTACCCAGCTACTGGGTTTATAGAATATTCTATCCCTGAACAAATAAATTATGTTACAGTTTAACAAGATGGCCTGGTTCATATCATATGCAAGACAAGGAAGATGCAATTAAACATCTCCTCAATAAAGTCTTCCTGGTCAATCTGCTTTGCAGATTGCTTCTGTCTCAATACTCAGTGATCCCAAATTGAGTTAGCGGTACAAAACACATATTACTCTACAGCTTGCAACTTTAAAGTGTGTGGGCTTCAACTCCCAAAATTCTCTAGTCAACATGAGGGAATTAAGCTTGCCAGCTTTAAGATATGTGGGCTTCTGGGAGTTGAAGTCCGCACATCTTGAAGTTGCCAAATTTAGAAATACTGCTCTACAGTCTCAAATTATTCCAGCTGTCACTATGGTGTTGAAAGAAACATCATCAGGTCCAATTCCAAGCCGGGAGTAAATAAAATGGAGGCTAAGACGCTGGAAATAAAAATGGAGACTGCTTAAGAAAGAAGGTTCCTATTTATTGATGAGCAGAACCTGCAACAGCATGCGGTTCTGAGACAGCTGACCAAATGGAGTTGAGAGTGGGTGGGTTTTTATACCTTCTT